CGCGCAACAAATACATATTCCACTATGTCCTACACACAACATAGAGCACATAACCTACACGTTAAGATGTCAACACATCTTAGTAACTAATAAATGAGCAGTCTCACACTACTATTTATAAAGCCTAGTAACATATTAACTAAACAACCATTCCAAAGGGGCGTGTGAACATACACTTTTATTATAAAACGGTTCGAAAACTCACCAGTTACCGGATCCAACAATGCACACTTTCTTTGGTTTTCCAGGCATTACGGAAAGATATAAGTGCCGCAAACAAGAGTAAAAGCAGAGGAGACTTACTGACTGGCTTTGCTTCCTATGAATAACACTAGCCCGAAGCGAACCTTGGACTATGGGCCTCACGGGCCCCTTGCCAAGGTTAATCGAAGGAAGACTCCACCATCGACTTCGTGTATCGTACAATCGAATCGAAAAGGCGAACACAGCTGATCGCAAGGTCGTCTGTAATTTTACTATATTTCTCGCGAAGTAATACATAAATAAATGAAAATTACACTCTCCTTCCTCGAGAAAATGAAATTATATTAAATACAAGTAAATAAATCACTAATCTTACCAATGTATCAGAATAAATATTGTAACCAAGATAATGTAGAATAACCATATCCTTATAATTATATATCGTTCTGTCTACGACTTTGGTTGCACATCACCTGAGTTATATTAAAAGTCGAAGGGTATGCCAACGGTATTCTGTTGCCCCACTCGGTAAGGAGCCAATCGACATTAACGACACATTACTTGTAGGAGGATCAATATAATGCCATTAATTAGAACAGCAAGGCATTGGTATACAAAGATAAAATTAAATTGCTCACTTCAAAACTCTTTATTAATTACTTTTGAATAAAATTCTAATTTTTATTCATTTTCTGCAATGCAGTATGAAATGAGAATGTCTAGAATTTTAATATTGAGGTACAAAAATGTTTCAGCAAATATACCACGAATATTACATGTTCCATATTATTCAATCACACTTGGGCACACATTTTGCGGCTCTCTATATATGATTACTTGTCAAAATGTAGAATGACACAAGAAAAATAAATGCCTTAATCGAGTTTCAAGCCAATGGTCCAAACTACTACAATTCTGAGCAGGCCACAAAACAAAGTTCTTTGTCTTCACTGATTAAACAACAGTAACTAACTCAATACTTCTTCCACTCCAGTGCTCTGAAAGCATAAAAAAATAATTTTATCTCAGAAGACAGCAATCTTCAGACTCACCACCAACAAAACCTCAAATCCTACAATTTTCTCTCTTTTTACACATAATTTTCCAACAAATATATGATGCACAAACACCTTTATTTGTACAATGAAAATACTTACAAGCTACCAGCCACTCATAACATGAATATGTTTTCCTAAGATTCAGTCATACATGTTTCTATGGTTTGTAACATAAGGGACTTCCAATACATCAATCAACTTACTTCTGTAGAAAAATGCAAAAAAATTACAATGTTTTATTATCGGTTCACAATTTTGTTGAATCGTATAAGATAATACCTTCAAATACAATAATTTATTAAAAATCCACCATATGTGTTTTGGCTACTTTTAGCCACTGTCAGGAGACTAATGCTATCTGATAAAGATAAAAAACCTCACTCAAAATTTTTACCATAAAAGCACATAGAGATATTTTAAAACTACCTGTATATTCACTTTGTTATAAGTAGTTAACTCACTGCTATCAGAACCTGCAGGTTCAACACTGACAACACCAAAGCCCATCACCAGCAATGATCCTGAGTCCAACACCATCCAGTTGCCATCCTTACAGCCCACCTCCGTAAGATCTATCTTGACATTATCTTCCCATTTCCTTTTTGATCTGCCCAGTGGTCATTTTCCATAAGGATTCCCTACCAAAATTCTGTATGCACCCCTTGCCTGTTCCATGTGTGCTGCATATCCAGCCCAACAAAGCCCCCTACATTTCACTATCCTCACTATGCTAGGTGACCCGTACAATTCACTCAGCTCCTCATTATGCAATATTCTAAATTCCCCACTTACTTCATCTTACTTAATTTTAGCAAAAGTATTAATATTTTTAATTATACATGCGCACACCTTTTTTTCCATGTTTCTACACTGCATATCTTCCTTCTTAAGAATATTTACTAAATAACATGAAAATGCAATAAACAGAAACATAAAATATGTGCAATATTGATTTTATGACAAAAATTGTGCATGAAACTTTTAATAACTACAACAAATAGTCCGAATTCAATGAAGATGGCTAAAAATAGCTTTTCACGTATAGCGGATATCTGTAACGAACAGTTGTATTTAAAGTTATTAATACTAAATGGTAATGCTTCGTCTTTCCTGTCACCTTACTGGCTGATCTTGTCCCAATTTTAAATTTGGGAACAAACAACAGAGACTGCCCTACACATAGATCCATGGCCAAAGCTTCACATTAAATTATACCCAGCGATGTCTTAAAGGAACGCCCATAATTTGAATTCTAATTGCAACCACTTGTTTCTCCTTCTATCCTGTTTTTGTTTTGTGCCTTCATATCTTTATTTGCTTCCAGCAATCTACAATTTATATGAGTTTCTAAATATCATGTCTACTGTAATTTAATTTTGTATATTTGTGTCATATCAAGATGGCCTGCACGGTGTCACTACCACAAAACGTTACAGCCACAGCCCATATAATTAAATTTGTATATCCCACGTACGCATAAAACAGTTACAGTGTTGATCTGACCACAGTACATATCTCAAAAATCAGTTGGAGTTGGATAGTTTACAACACTTCACATTGTCAGGCAAGTTGCATTTTGGTTTAGACTGGTGTGTACTATAACCCCATTTTAAATAAATGCAGAAATAAACTGCATCATACTTTATTAAAAAACATCAGAACAAGGAATACTTCAAATAAGTCACACACCAGCCTGATATATATACTTTCTCACACTGCATGTGATTTTTAGAGTTTGTTTGCAAGTCACTTAATTATGCTGTTAGTAGCTCACACCATATAATGTTGATGACAGGATTATTAATGAATAATGAATTGGAAAGGATGTGGAAGGAAGCAACTATGGCCTAATTTAAGGTACTATTCCAGCATATGTCTGGAGGGATTGAGGAAAATCATGAAAAACCTCGGTCACTCCCTCCAGCCAAATGCCAGATGTGCCTTAAATTAGGCCATGATCACTTCCTTCCACATCCCTTCCAATTCATTATTCACTCACCATCCCATCACTTAACACTAGACAGTCTGAGCTACACAAGCATTGTTAAATAAACGAACAATAAATAAAAGAGTGTGGTAAACATTTCCAATTTAAAATGTCTAAATGGCCTGAGAGACATCTATCAGGTGAGCTAGTAATGACATTATCTCTCAAACTGATTTTATTCTGTTTCTATGTTGCAAGGCCTCCGGGTCAGCTGTGAAGAAATCAGAAACCTAAAGAAACAAGCAACTGGGAAATGTGTAATGTGACCAAACCAATTATAATCATTGAAAATTCAGTAGAAGTGGTCATTATATTCTGCCATGACTTGCTCTTTCAGATACACTACACATACACTGTTCATACACTCTTCAAAAAAAATTACATGTTGGTAACAGCAATGATTGCATGACCTTCACGCAAATTACAAACACAGATAATGAAGAATGATGACAAGGATAAAATGGTTTTACAACATGGAACTGCCGTTACTTCCGTCTTAAAATCTCTGATATACTTGTTACAAGCACCAATCCTGGATGTTTTGTGACATACGAAAATCACATAATTAATTGTCAGATTCTGTTTCCTGAAAACAAAAAATACACTGTAACAATAAACGAAAGTAATTATATAAATGTGCATTAACACTTGCTATATTACTGGAAAAACACAACAGAGCTTGCCACACCCCGCGACAAACTATCTACGTACCTATATATTACATAGGGATCTTACCGTAAAATATTTAATGGGGTTGTCATGTCCCTCCAGAAATGGATAAAATCTGAGAACAGATGCTTCTTGATTTATAATTGCAAAGTCTGCGTACTTACTGTTGGGTCACAGTCTGCACAATGCCAAGAATAGCCTCTTCTTTTCGGCGTCTTCTTTACAGGGGGATCCAGACAAGTGAAATGGAAACACTTCATGCATTCATCACACCTAACAGACAAATGTGAATTACAAATTCAGAACATGTGCATGTATATATTAACGTAAATGCCCTAGAAGATGATGCTTCGCTAAACTGATACACGCGCGTATTCTCCGTAACTGCGATATTGCCGAGGGGTACACCTTTTTTATGGCTCCGATCTGGCAACTTTGACTAAAAATATGGGAATGAGACATGTTTCTGCCACATCTGTTCCATGTCTCCTGACAAATGGGCATAAATAATAATCTGTCGCTCCTGACTTTCTCAAACATCATCCATTCCGTACATCCAGATCTAGCATATTAATAATAATAATGTACTGTGACAAAGTCTCACCTGACAAGATTCTGATTGGAGCCCGGTCCATTACACACATCACACTTGGTCATGACGTCTGTGTCCCTGACCTTCTTGCTGCCCGACGATATCCTCACACTACTAGGCCGGGCCCTACCCGTTATAGGTGACGGAGTTGAATGTATCGTTTCAGTGCTTGAAGTTGCAACAAACATTTGAGGACCGGAAGATGACACTCCCTCCCCATATGGCATTGGTATTGGTTTGATCTAAAACAGAACTCATGAACACTGCAGAGAAGAAGTACAGCATTTCAATTAGGGCCATAAAATATACCACAATGCTGTACAAACACTTGTTATTACTTTTTCAACAGCCATCATGTAACTCAGCAATAAATGTTGAGTACACCAAAGTACTGCGGAAACTCAGAATATTACTCATGAACACAGTAAAATAAAAATTCCAATAAGAGATCACAGAAGTACCTTTATCTTAATTCTGGGGGTCTCTTGTTGGTTGGGGTTCTCCATGTCAAGACTCTTCCTCTTGCGCTTGCGTTTGTGCTCCTTACTAGGGCTCATGCCTTGTGAGTCAGGGGAGTAGCGATGATGCTTCTCCCTACGCCTCTTCTTGCTTGCCCTCTGCCCCTGATGTTCTACTGAATTGCTTGTAGTTGCCACAGAATTGGAATTTAGCAACAGAGGCAAAGTTACAGTTGCTGTAGGAGAACTGGCGCCTCGTATCGTGAACGTTGGTCTGGGAAGACTGACTGGTTGCGGCTCTAAGGGTTTGATCGTGACCTGAACAACATAAATTATACTTGCAACTTAACACAAGACCAATGTCTTAAAAAATAATGAAATCTTCATTTAAGTATATTAAAATCCTACATAACAAATGCATATGCTCACAGTTCTTATTTTTCTGATCGTGATTTAAAAATCAAAATGTCAATTTATTTTGGCTATCAAGGCAGCCCTGACTGACTACCAAGTTCCTTTCTGAGGTTAGATTTTATTCAAAGCACTCTATATTAAGTTTCATCAATGTCTGCATAAATTCTCCAAATTCCAAACTCTATGTAATGGAGATAACAAATGCATGTGGTTATAAAGTTTCAGTAATCATTAATATTGAATTTCTTATGCACCTCCTTAGCCGAACTCAGTTCAGACATGCATCGTAAATGTTAGAGCTGCCTACCTTTGGTGTCAATGGACACAGAGATTTCTCAACTTCCTTGTGTCGCAGACGACGTGGGGCCTCGGTGTCTACAACCTCAAAATCTGACCCCGATGACTCCTTGTCACACTCGGAACACTGCCTACAAATGAAAATGTCTTAAAGTTCCTAAACAGCACAAGATCCAGAGACTACCAGTTTCAATAATAATCTAGAGTGGTGGTGACATTCTGGGCAAAAAACATTGAAATTTGAAATGTCTTAAAGAAAGAAAACACTTCAAAAACTGTTTAGAAGACACACAACTTCACAAAGTTCTCAATCACCTGTTCAACTATCCCACTGTTAATGGTCAAGTTCACTTACCATCCCATGAGTTTCGTCTTCTTGGGCATGCGACTGAGTGGTGGATTTAGGCATCCCAAGTGATAGTAAAGGTGGCAGGTATCGCACTTGGCCAGGAGGTGTTGGTCCTTTGTCTGACGACAAATTCCACATTCATTGAGTGGGATCGGACCAGTGTCTGTTGGGCAGAGTTCGTGATTAAAGAGACACCAACACCTCTCAACTATGTAAGCAAGTAAGCACTAAATTAGGACAAGAACTGAGGTTCCCACAGCAGTGGAGAAGTTCGTGTTGGTCGTTCAGGTTATAACACCATGTAGACATGTAGGCAGACATCAGTGTTTTGAAGGAACATCTTGCCTCCATCTTCATCCCTGCTTGAAGATGGAGGCAGTATCTGTGTACTGTCACTGTAACAACAATTACTGAACCTGGGCCCCCACCTCTCAGAGAACACAAACATAGACTGATGTCTTATTTATTCCCACAAATTTTTGAGCATTTTACTGGTAATTAAGAGTGTCCCTACTTTACCCTAGAGAGTAACGGAAAACATACATTTTGGGAATGTAAATACAAGGTTTTAATGCATGAAAAACTAAGGCACCAAGGTACAAATACTTTGTAAAGTAAGACAAGATGATGGATACTTCCTAAACTAATAATTGAAATGTACGTATATGAAGGACAATGAACTCTTTCGGACATACTCACCAGATCTCTGATTAGAAACTCGTCCTTCTGGTCTCCCACTTTGAGATCTTGACCCAGAACCAGTTGGAGACACAGTCAGTACACGAAGTGGAGGTTTACCAAGTTCATCAATGGCAGGAAGATCTTTCGAAGGACAGACGTGCAGGATAGCAGAATGGTACTTATGAATTGTTTGCTTCAAGGTCACACTCGTCCTGCTGAGGTCTGCATTCTCCTTCAGCAGCTGTTCACAAAACAGAGCAAAAACTGTTCACTGGTGACACAGGATACCTGTGACATCTGAGCTAATAAAGGAACTGGCTTCTGCTGACACAAATTTTATATTTTAGTGCCATATAAAGAGAGGCTCGGAAGCCCACGTGACTTGGAGTAAGAATATAAAATTGAACACTCCTGTCAAAATTCACAAGCTTCAGAATGCCCACAGCTCTCCTACCTTACCCATGACTTTATGACACTGTGGTTAAGACGCAAACCGCCAATTGTGGTTTTCTGGGTTACGACACCACGTAGTCTTACAGGTGTATTTGAGCGTACATCCAAAAGATCAGTAACCACCTACGGCGTCACAATCTAGAAGACCGACGCCGAGTTCACCGTCACTGTTAGGACCTCAAATCTCATACAGTAACTTACTTGATCATATTTAAATCTCAACATTTGCTGCTCATCTTGAAGATGGTTGTTCACTTGAAGAAGATTCTCCAGTTTACCTTTCATAGAGGTCAACCTCATGTTACGATCCAAGTAATAGCCGATAAATTCCACGCTGAAAAATAAGTAAACTATTAAACTTCCCATTAAGAAGGATGGAAAAACACACACAGTTCTATTGATAATCAATCTCTTTCCATACAAAACAAAACAGGTTTGATATCTGATATGCCTTTAGCAATCTGCTTCTCTCATAAAACAAGGATAGCAGACTACAGCTTTAAGGCAGCTAAAGTCACACACACCTGAAGGCAGGAGGAATATGCCATTTCTTACGAACATCAACAAGGGCTGCCACTTGTGCTTCCTGAATCTCCAGCGCCTGTGTGTCAATGCCCATGAGCTCTGCTTTGAGCAGCAATTTCCGATATGCGGACGCACTTGTTGTCAGCAGCCGTGGCATCTTCTGGGTTGGTACTAAAATTAATAACAAACTCAGCACAAGTGCAAAGAGAGTAAGGCTGCATCGCACAATTTCAGGGCCTTACTGCAGCATACAATTTTGTGATCTGTGCATAATTTCAACCAGTATAAATTCTAAAATTTGCCCGACGTAACTTCAAAATTTCACACGTTTGTTAACGCAACACAACATCCAATAAAGAATTAGCAGGCATCTTTATGTCTACCTCTATGCGAGATTTTATTACCTATACTGAGGCTGCAGTTTATATTCTATAAAAACACTACTCAAAAAGAAACCTCCATCACATCTTTCAAAGATCCACTGAGCAAAGTTCTGACATAAAAGTTTTTGCACAGCATGATCTCGTTTACTCCCATCAATGGGTGTCACAGAAAACCTAGTTTATGTGAGCTCTGAACCATTGAGTACGAGGCTTTATACACCTCACAAATGTTTCAAGTTTTGCTAAACATTCCAAAATGTGTAACTTACAATGGATTACATTTCAAACCCAAAACCTTAGGCATTACCTACAGACCATCAATTTCACCACAAACATTTTTCAGTTTATACTTCTGGCTACTCCCTGCAATCAAATTAAATAAAAATGAACGTGAGTTAATCCCATTTATTCATCGTACAACATTATTATGGATTTTATACCAAACACGTTACTGCTTCCGAGTGCTAGAATTCTCCGTAATATCGTCTTACCCCAAGGATGGGACCTTGAAGATTTGTGCGACAGGTACTTTTGCCGGTACTTAGCAAGTTTACGCTGGATCCGCAGCTGCTCAGTTGTGTTGCTGTGCCCTACTTGCTGGTACTCGATCTGACGCTGTTTGGTACGCAGCTGTAGAGCCAACCAATTGCGACGTCGTCTCCTGCAAATCATAAATTCATGTTTAAAGAACAGAAGAATGCTAAATTTATTAATTTTATAACGCAGACACTCAAATTAAATTCTAACAATAAAAATAATTAATTTCCATACCCCTGCATTAGCTGTTCCCTACAGTATCGTTCTTATTTTCGTGGTAATTGCAAGGCTCTAGAAACACACTCAATTCCTACAGATTGGTTAACCTTTGCTGTATGGAAATATGGGATTTAAAACAGAGAACTACACAGCTGCAAGCCTAACTTTAACTATGGGGTTAACAGTATGGTACAGTGACGCAACGCCAACTGGACTGCATGCAAGCCAAGACGCATGTTTTACAAAGGTTAATCCACTGTGTACTGACGATGAGACAAGACGCATAGGCACTGAAAAATGACACAGCAATTCCACATTTTCAGAAAAGTCCAAATAAATGTAGTTCTAAAGTCACTGATAAACATTTTCCACATCAAGCATAATTTAAATCGAAGATTTCTGTCTTCTGGGTTGTTGCGCTGTGTAGTCTGGTCGATGTTTACCAACGTTTCAGAGGTCATACTGCCTCCATCATCAGGGCGATGAGTATGAAGATTCCTGTCTTCTGGGTTGTTGCGCTGTGTAGTCTGGTCGATGTTAACCAACGTTTCAGAGGTCATACTGCCTCCGTCATCAGGGCGATGACATCGACCAGACTACACAGTGCAACAACCCAGAAGACGGAAATCTTCATACTCACCGCTGTGAGAACCTCAAGTCTTACATAATTTAAATCAACTACTGGTTAAGGAGATTTGGGTGAAGATGTAAAATTCAGCAGAAACTAGCGATAAGCCTGTAATATCAGCAAAGCAGAAGAGTCATGACCCATTCCTGTTCTGTCACAAATATATCAGCTATTTTGATTGTCTCTCAGAGCCTATTTACAACGCAAAAAACAATATTTCTCATGCCACTGCCATGACTTCTTGCCTGGAATCTAGAACCACCCCGCTGTGTTTATTAATTGCATGCACCGAGTACACAAAATGTTTGGATGAGGGAAAACACAACTACAAACTGACAATTTCTTTGTGCTGAAACCTAAACAGCAGTGCTTCTGTTACCTCATAAGCATTTTGTCAGTATGCAATTTGCAGTGTGCATAGAACGGATCCGCCTGATCCACTTCCTCGGAGTGAGCTTCCGACAGAAGCCCTTCCCTCTGAGCACTGTAACATAAAACACGTAGAATGTCCCATAACCATTCACCCATAAAAATATGTATTGCAGATAAACTACTGCACATCAAAGTGTGACAAAATTACAAGATCCTCACAGAGTGGTGACGTCGGTGTTCACAAATTCTCGTTTAGTACAACGTGCATATGTAGAAGAGAAAACAAACCCACCAGGTCACGTGAAAGAAAGTGCGACACATGCCGGCATCACACCCAATGCAGACGCCGGTGCGGCTGAAACGCGCGTCTTCGCAGAGGCAGCAAGTTTTAGCGCCCCACTTGCTGTATGGCATCTCAAACAAGGTCACGCTTGAGAGTTTGTCAACTTCGCCAAACGCAACTCCAGGCACATACAGAGCGCACACCAAGTGCACCCACTTTCCGACATCCGTCTCCTTGAAAATGCCGCCTACAAGATCGACAAACATTATTCCATACCCCCATAAGGAAGTAAATTACATGACACTAGCAAAACTCACATCTCTCGCATTTATGCATCCACAAAGTAGTCAAAACTGACTGTAAGAAGTTTAAAAGTATTCAGGTGTCCTCCAATGGCATTACATTCATACAAATGTAACATAGATCAATCGGTTCAAAAGTTTGAAGTGGAAAGACACACAATCAGCACGGTGACCTCACAAACCTACTTTTGTTCACATAAGAAAGGTAAGTAAACTAATAAAATCCTCCCAAGCCATGTTCACTTTTAAGCAGCATTTTGATACTGACGTCTCAAAAAACACAGAGAACATACAATAATTTAACACATTAAAAAGTACAGTTATGTACAGAGAAAATTCTTTATATCAAGAAAAAACAAATAAATGCCAAGACCTTGCTTCTGAATTCTTTGAATTATATGAAAGAAAATAGTTGGGAGGGAGGGAAGCTGAAAATCCCTCATCTAGCACAATGTTTTCCTAACAATTGTCATGACCATCAGAACTGATGTAAAATAGATAACGATGGATCTGACGACTGCCATGGATATAAATAAACACCAAAAAATATTATCACAGCTCTGAAACATTGTAAATATTTCAGGAAACAATCACATTAATAAACAGAAAGGAACAGGGGATCTAACCTCTTTGTATGTGGCCCCTAAATGTACCTTAGAAATAAATTTTATAAAATGTAATGACAGAAATACTCATGTTGTTAACATAATTAACTGCACGCAAAATTCAATCCCCACCTCCCATCTGAGACAGTACCGTTACCTGAATTTGGACATAATTCACATGCAGGATTTGTGACACCAGCACGACAGGCTTCACAAAACCACGGTTCTGTTGAACACGAGGAAATAGTACTCGATACACTTGCTGTGTCGGATACTCCATAGCAACCTTGAGAAAAACAAGAGCATCGAGAAACATTATCTTCCTTAGAAATGCATGCGCAAAACTTGGGATGCTCAACTCATAATGCACCTGTGAATTTCCTTACCTTCGTGGACAGTAACTCCACAACCGTCACATTCAACAATTTCATTTGCATCATCGCTCCTGTCGCCTAAGCAGCCGCAGCAGATCAGCACCTTCACAGCCTCCTTCAAATCAAACTGCAAATGTAAATACGAAACTTAGGCACAATTCTGTCTCTCAAACATCCTATCTTTGTCAAATGTTACTACACTTTGCTAAAAATATTCCTAGTTATGTCACAGGATAAGGTAAAGAAATATGAAATCTGCAGTCCCTCAGTCAGTAAAGCGTCTGGCTTGATGAATGGGATTGAACTCTGAGCTGCAGGGGCAAGTTCTTTTCTCTTTGCCATCCTAAACCTGTAAGGCTATGGAGTCTACCCAGCCTCCTATCCAACAGACTATGAAGCATCTTTGACGGAGGGGGGAGGGTTGATTGGTTAAAACAACCAAGCAAGAAGCTGGCCACTGATATCTATCAAATGGGAAGTTGGGACTATATGGAGCTGCCTTCAAGACCTCAACTCCTCTCTTCATCACAAATCTCCTCTTCTATCCCACTCCATACTATTCCCAAAAACTTAACACACTATAGTCCTATATCAATAGCATTTCCAAATTACCCATAACAATTTACTGCTATTTATGGATTAGATCTACTTTTACACAAATTTAAATGTTTGCTGTTTCTTAAGTCCAAGTGTGTTCTCCCTCTCAACAGAATTTCCTGCTCATAACATAAAGGGCAAGAGAACACATTACTAAAACCAAAATAAAAAATACTTAAATAAAGTAGTCCATTACTGCAATGAACAATCAGACTACAGAAACACATTTGCTAACTGCAAAGAATCACCTGATGTTTTGACTCAGTTTGACGTTGTTTTGCCTGCTGAATCACATCTCCAATTGTCAAGTTCTGGTGAACAGTCAAAGGATGTTTCACATCTGGAAGAATCTCTCCAGCACTATCTTCTGAATCTTCTGCATCATCATCATCATCGTCGTCGTCGTCGTCATCGTCATCATCATCATTTACATCATCTGACAAGAATATATTTATTGGTTATAAAATATTCAGAAGCCAGTATTGCGCAAATAAGTAGAGGAGAAAGAGTCCATGAATTTTAAAATGTAATACCCAACCTGCTTTGAATGAAAACTACGCCATACTTTAACAAAAAAAGCCTGCAGATGATATACATTGAATTCTGTTGGTCTTTACATTCTTCCACTAAAATAAATTTAAACAAGTGATGCTTGCAATGAATTACCCTTTCCTCCACCATCATCGTCTGAATCTATAGAATCATCATCAGACTCTTCAAAATGATCTTCAATGCGAAAGTCACTGTCGTCTGAACTCTCTCCTAAATCAAAATCCAGCAATGATTGGTGTGCTGGTCCAACAGGTTTTACCCTGCGCTTGTTAGGGTCTCGTTCAACTGCAAAGAAAACATAACAGACCAAAATTAATATAACTTTTAAAATTAACCGGTCAAGTCTTACAGTACACAAAGCGGCATTTCCCTTCAGGCAAACAGCTTTTAAAATTCTACTTATGTAATTATTTCATGTTAGTATACCTATCATGTCACCAGAAAATAGTATAAAAATAGTTCTGATTAATTAATATACTTCAATACAACATACATCCACTCATATTATTCAAACAAAATTAAATATTTTGTCTCGTATAACTATTTACACATGCAGCCCTGCACAGTACTAGCATTGTGCGCACTAAGACGTTCAAATGTTTCCACTTACAGAAATCCATGCGCAAACGGAAAATTTAAAGGTCGAAATTTTCCAACAAAACCGCGTTGTTCAATAATAACTTCTTTCGGCCGAAAATTTGGCAATGGATAATTTCATTGTTTTAGTATTTTACTTTACAAACCCATTGTTTTGTAAAGAAATCCTATATCATCTGCATCCCGAGCGTGAGACATTTTTCTTTCCAAAAAACTGACAACTACTACACAAATCATGCAATTTTCTTAAAATCATTGCACGTTTCCACCACAAGTACAGGCAGATTATGATTATGCAACGAAGTATTGCGTCAAGCTATTTTCTATAGTTTGATTCTGCTACGCATTATTGCTATTTTGGGCACACAGAAACACAATATGAAACTTAATCACATATTGAATAACATTGATTACAAACCGCGAAATTTAAAATTGTACAGTCATAGACTATAAAAACGGACATTGTCGTACCTTATATGCATATGTATAATTACGAATAATTATAAACGAATATCTCACACCCAGTGAGACTTGACATTGTGGAATCTAAAATATTAATATTTACATTATTTAGAATTTACACCTACCTAAAATACTAAGACAACAGAAACTGCACATTTTATACCAATGGTTAGGCCTCTAATCAGTCATAGGTTCTTCATAAATTACATAGAGACACAGTCTTTTAATAAAGTAAACATGATCGTAATCACATTCTTAAAACTGAAGCATCTCTAGTTTCTAGTGTTCCATAAATCCTCCAGAACACTTACTAAATATCAAGTGCTTGCCTAGTCCTCCATGTGAAACCCATTTTGAATATCATACTGTTCTTTGATCATTTATAATGTCACTTATCAAAGGGCTACGTTCTGACAAGCCAGGAGTCAAGTTGTTTTGGGCATTTAATTAGCAACTAACAAAATTCTACAACTGGCACAACTTACTATTTGCCCTGAGTGCCATAACCCCCTTCCTCAGATCCATAGCATACGTCTTAACCAGCTAAAACATAACCGCTCACCAGCAGCATTCCACAGATGGCAGGCTGTATGTGTAGCATTTACCTTGTAAGAGAAGTGACATAAAAGAAATGTCCACTCTCAGGAGAGGTGTTGGGTCACCAGACTATGGGAACAATGCACTTTCTCTAGATCATATTGTTCACTGAAGGCCAAATGAATGGTTCACTGCAGATCTGAAATGTTCCATCATTTTATGACAGCTGTTTCATATTTGAGGCCAGGCTCCACTCTTATTTTAATGCTTATGGCAGGGACATCATCAACCTCAGTGTTCCACTACACACATAGTTTACGAAGGACATGTGTCACCTATTGTCCTGATTTTCAATTTTCTCTGTTCTTGCTCATCACTTAACACTACTTCTAATATGTTTACATCACTCTTGGTTCATACGCACATTCGTGTTCCAAGTGATATTTCATGTGATAATATTTTGTAATTGAAAATTCCAAATGGTATCTATAAAAGTCTAGCAAAATTTTTGGGCTGTGCATAATTCCTCCTTGGATGAAATGTTCCATCCAAACAAAACAAAACCTTTAAACATTCCTAAATGATATAACATTAAGGCAGTGCATCATAAAATAATAAACCGATGACCTGAATCTGGCCTCCCTCATAGTTATTACAGATTAAGTATGCCTTTCACCTGTTGGTCTGCAATCAAAAATATTTACCACTTCTTTGCGAATTACAATTAGGATAATTTTAATGTTCACTAAATTGACAATGTGTTCACTTCATGCTTGTATGAAGCCCACAGTAATTAATGTCTACCAGTTTTTTGTTACTGGTTCATAAGTTACTTCAGATATCAGTAAATATTACTGTAGTATTC